AACTATATAAATAATATGCGAACTCAATTGAAATTGATCGGCAAAATTAGCCAATCAGACAAACTTCTGCCTATGACCAGCATTATCACAAATAATAAAATGCTACGGTGCAGATCATCTATAATTGGGTTGTACGATAGACTATGTAGATCAAAACTAATTGACATCATATATAAAATTTACTAATTAACTTTTTTTCAACGAATATAAAAATAAAAATTGCATCTACTCCTTCAAAAAAAAAGATACAAGTATGAAATTAAGAAAAATCGTAATAAATGTGATGCTGAACATGGTGACAGAGAGGTTTTTTTAATTTTATTAGTAAAATCATCCAAAATGTTAAAAATACTGTTAAAACTTTGAAACATATAGGCTCGATAACCAAACAAGTTAGAGTAAAAAAATTTCCAAAGTTTTTTCTCTGTGATTCAAAGAATAGCCTGACAGAGAGTTTTTTTAAAAATTATTAGTAGAACAAGGATTTATAAGAATTCAAAGTTGTGCGATTTTATTAATAAAAAAAATTTTCGATTTTTTTTCTGATGATCATTTCCTTTTAAGGAAAACGTAAAGTCTTTTTCTTAATAATAAGAAACGTAAGAATCGTAAAAAATAAAATATTCAAGTTTAAATAAATAAAATGCCGAAGCCCAATAAAAGAAAAAGACTAATTCATAATGCATGTGTGGTCAAAAAAATGAAAACTTCCTCAGAACCTTTACTCCTTATTGAACAAGAAAATAATGTTCCAATACCATTAAGTAATAAGGCTCTAGAAGTAAAGCAAAAATTAATAAATAAAATCAATTCATTACCAGAAAAACAAATCTTTGCATGTTCTACATTGCTCGAAATTATGGTTTATCCTGATGGTATTAATAAGGGTGAAATTATTTCATCATACCTACAAAAAAGGCACTAAATTTAGTTCTATCAAATCGGGGAAAACAAGATTCTAGTGCCACAGGGATCCAAAATAAAATAAAATTATTAAAGAGTGAAAATGAAAAGTTGACTAAGAAAATTGAATCAGCTACTTCGAAGAAGAGAACTCTGGCCATCAAACTAAAAAAACAAGAACAAAATAGAGATCTTTATATTTCACGAATGAGATCATTAGTTTCGAAAAGAAAAAATGTATCAGAAGGAAAGATCCAAAAAAATATAACAAAAAAGATTAAAGAGAATAAACATACCTATACGCCTGAGTTTACTGCTCTAATATCCCAAATTAGCAATAGGTCAAATGTCATTATCTTCAACAACCCAGTGCACAAGAGAAGTCTTTACCTTTCTGACTGGTCATTCCCCTGATACTTGGGTTTCAAAAAGTACTTTATCTCGATGGAATAAAGAAGTGGCAGAACTTGCAATTATTGAAAATCTTCCAAATTCCACTTCTACATTTGTTTCATATGGAATCCTAGCAGATGAAAGCACAAGAGGAGATAAAAAAATCTTCTTAGTATGTGTTGCACATTGGAATACAATCAAAGAGGAACCTATTGCATCAGGAAAACTAATGTTGAGTATTATATGTATAATCATCATATAAATCACATATAATGGTCTATATGCAATTTAT